CCCGGCTATTTTTTGGTTGCAGCCATCATTGTTGTTTGGCGGGTCCGGGCTGGGGATTCGAACCCGCCACCTTGGGTGTACGTGGCTGGCGCCCTAGCCGGTTGAGCTATAGGCGCCGAGCCTCTTAGGGTTTTAAAAGAAGGAGTGAAAATGCAAATGTATAGCTTATTAATTTTTACACTATACTGTTAACTGTAGTGTAATGAACATAGAAAAGTACACAAATTGTTTAAGTGTGTAGCTTAATAAATAAAGTGACTATATACATATAACCACCACCTGTATTATAAAATAGAACATTAGAAATACTCTGGGAGATGCCTAGAATCCTATTTCAGTTATACTCCCTGTTAACAAAGATAACTGCCATACGAACCTCTATCACCATGGATTAGTTTTGCTTTTACCTCCTGTAAAAGTAATCGTACATTAGGTACTCTTATGCATCTAGTTTACTATGCCTAAAGTTATGTTTATAAAATTCATGCTTCTTGTTGCATAAATAAGTTAATCTTCCCTTATCTTTGTGGAGATAGTATTCCAATGTAAAATTTGCCAGATTTCACTAAACCATTAATGAATATTTTGGTTGTTTCCCATTTTTGTTTATAATAACCAGTGCTTCTATGAACATTTTGTACATGTTTTCTGGCAGATATGTATTCATTAGTACACTCAAATGAAATCTTACTGAATCACAGGGCAAGCATATATTTGGTACCAAATCAACAATACCAAATATCTGCTTCAATTTATAATCTAATCAGCAATATATACACTTGTTCTTGTTAAGCTTAGTTGCTTTAATTTCAGATATTCTGGAGGGTGTACAGAGACTTCGCATTGCAGAGTTATTTAATGTGTCTGGGTGCTCAGTTGAACGAGAAGGTGGACTTTTGGATATCCCCCTTTTTAAAGGGCCTGCTCAAGTGCTTTGTATATTTTTCTACAGGGTCATCAGTCTTTCAATTGTTTTGGGGTATGTTCTTTTTCAGATATATGCTCATGTTGTCTATGTCATCTCCCACTCCCTGGCTTACCTTTTCACTCTCTCTGTGAATGACAATTTAAATGCTTCCTTTCCAGTTCCTCTGCCTTTTACTGTTTGCCTTATTGCCTTGATTAGGGCAATATTTCAGTACAATATTGAACAGAGGGAATAATTCAAAGGGAAAGCTTTTAACATTTTAACAGCAAATACAATCTTTCTTTACTTAAAAAAAAGCACTTTATCAAATTAAGAAATTTCTCTTTTATTCCTAGTCTGTAAAGAATTTTAAAAAATCATGAATGGGGCAGTGCCTGTGGCTCAGTGGGTGGGGTGCCAGCCCCATATATTGAGGGTGGTGGGGAACCCGGCCCCAGCCAAACTGCAACAACAACAACAACAAAATCATGAATGGGTACTGACCTCTATTTAAAACTTTTTTGTTTTTATTGAGATAATGATAAAGCTTTTCTTCCTTCATTCTATTAATATGACAAATTACATTGATTTTTAGGTGTTAAAACAATTTTGTTTCCTAAAATAAATCCTGTTCACTGGTGATATATTATTCATTTGGTATACTGCTAGATTCTATTTACTAATAGAATTTAGAATTTTTTAATCTATATTGGTAAGAGACACGGGCCTGTAATTTTCTGTGTAACATGCTCGTAAGTTTTGGAATCAAGGATATGCTAGCTTCATCAATTGAGTATGCAAATGTTCCTTTTATCTTCCTTTGCTGTTTAGAGGTGTTTAAGATTGGTATTTCTTTCTTAAGTGTATAGAATAAAGGCATCTAGACCTGGAATGGCAATCTGTTTCTATTTGTTTTTTCTCTTAGGCCTGTTTCTTGGTATGCTTAGTAGTTTTTGATTGAGTGCTACAATTTATGTAGGAAAATTTGGGAGAGGTTTCATATGATGCTGTCTTCTCCTAGAGAAGATTTGCTCTTTCTCTGGCAGGTAGGAGAGGGGCAAATCATCTCGATTCAATCATGAACTCAATTAACATAAAGCTTGTTTGGTATCTGTGTAGACCTCTGCAATAATTTTCAATTGAAGAAGGAACTACCATAAACGGTAATTTACAACACAAATTTGTTATCTCATAGTTCTATAGGTTAAAAGACTCACACAGGTCTCCCTGGACTAAAATCAATGTAGAAAAGGGTACATTCCCTCTGGAGGCTCTAGTAGAGAATCCTTGGCTTTGCTTTATCCAGTTTCTAGAGGCTGCCCACATTTCTTAGCTGGTCTATCTTAGCTGTGTCTATCTTCAAAGCCCCAGTTTTACATTCCTCTGACCCTTCTTTCAGTCAAATTTCCTTCTGCCTCTCATTTCCATTTTGTCAGACTCCCGTGATTACATTGCACCCACAAGGATAACCTCCCTATTTTGAGGTCAGCTGGTTAGCAACCTTGATCATCCTTTGCCTTGTAACCTAACATAGTCACAAATTCTGGGGATTAGGATACAGATATCTGGCGGGAGGTATTATTCTGCCTCCCACAGGTTCCTCTACCTCATATTTGTCCCCATTCTTAGGGTAAACCTCTCCAGGTACCCTAAGAGCCTAGGCTTTTTTCTAGGCCCCCTCATACTTAGTAAGTATCACACTGCAAATTTTCTCTTCAGTGTCATGTGACTGGGGAAGATACTGCTCAGTTTTTCAGATGTTTTCTGCTTCATTTCTCAGTCTGTGGTCTTGCATAGCTTGGTCAGCAAATGTATGATGGGGAAGACCAGGGCCAAGTTGTCAGGCTGATTTCTCTCCATCTCTCTTCCTTCTGTGATCTTGACCCCTTAATTTCTGGCTGTCTTGGCAGCCCCACGCTCCATTTTCTGTCTTCATAGCTTTGTGAAGTTGATTAAAGTCCCACTTGTTTTCTCTGCCTTTTACAAATATTCAATACTTGCTTTTTTGGTCTCTAGCCCCATATTGATAAATGGCAAATACCCAAAGGGAAAAACAACATGTAGAATGTTGAATTCACTTCTAAAAACTTTCCTTCTCTATAGGATCTTGTCTCTTAAAGGAGCAGTCCTTGGCAGCTTTCTAAAAGTGTCGACTAGATGTGGCCTGGGCTTCATCTAGCTATTCTTGATGAAGGTGTTGGTTTGACTACAAATACTCCTTTATTGTCAAGAAGTGGTAGTTCATAACATTCATTTAATCCTTAAAATACATCATCACTTTCAATGACATGTATCTTGTTTTACTTTTTAGAGACAGAGTCTTGTTCTATTACCCAGGCTGGAGTGCAGTGGCATAATCACAGGTCACTGTAACCTCAAAGTCCTGGGCTGAAACTACAGGTGTGCGTTATCTAGCTTGGCTAATTTTCTTATTTTTTGTGGAGACAGAGTCTTGCTATGTCGTCCAGGTTTGCCTTTAACTTCTGGCCCCAAACTATCCTCTCACCTGGCCTCCCAAAGTGCTGGGATTGAGGCATGAGCCACTGAGCCCAGCCTCTCATCCTTATACTTATTCAGCAGTTACTATACACAGCACTGAATTTAATGATGTGTAAAACACAGTCCTTTCCTTAGATAAGTGACAATCTAGAAAAACAGATAATACATATAGGTATGAAAATGATATTATAAAATACTACAAGAATGGGTTGAAATAAGAATACAGAGAACAGTGCTATAATGTTAAAATAAAAGGATGGTTAATATGGTTCCAGAAACTGAAACCATTAATTGTATGATAAAACTGGAAGAGACCTTAGCATTATTTAGTTTGAAACTAATTTTATAGCTGAAGAGACCTGGGCTAACAAATTAAATGAATTACCCAAAGTAACACTAATAAGTAGCAGAATGGAACTAGATATCTGGCATCCTGATTCTTGATTCAATACAATTATATAAAGAGATGTGGCCTTAAGAGAAAGGAAAAAAAAAAAAAGAGAAAGGAAAAACTGCACAAGGAAAGGGCCTTGAGGTAGGGAATATAAAACAATGAAGACATAGCAGCAGGCAGAAGGAGATCAACTTAGCTGTAGCAAATCATCTGTGTTGAAAGAGCTAGAAACTAGGGTTGAGGGAATAGGGGGTGAAGTTATGAAGCACTCAGAATGCCACGCAGAGTTTAGACAAAGGGAATCCCTACAGAGTCTGGATAGAGATATGATGACGCTGCTCTATAAATATGTAGAAATTGCCCTAGGAAATGTAGAAGGAAAGGAAGACAGGAAACCAGTTAGGCGTTTTTAGTAGCATAGTAGGAATCTAGAGATGGCAAGGAAAGTAGAAAGGAAAGTAGGAGAGAGTTTGAAGGCCGAATTGCTAACATTTTATGACTAAATGGATATAAGGAGTGATCATGTTCAGTTTGAAGGGAGGACATTACAGCTCAGTAGAAAGAAACATGGGAGACAAGTAGAGCGCAGGGAAAAGACCAGTACTAGAAATTTAAATTACATCAAATATCATAAAAAGCTATTACCCACTGCCTCCTTTACTAAGCTGTAGTATTAATAAATCTTTCCATTTAAGTTTTTAGATCAGTAGGAGATATATCCAATTATCTATCTTAGATCACCAGACCACAGTAGCTTTCAAAAAAAGGGTAATAGGTAACATTTTTTTTAGCATTTACTAAGTACTGTGCTAAGTACTCCACATATATTAGGTAGTTTATCCCTCACAAACATTTTATAAGATATAATCATTATCCCAATTTACAGATGAGGAAACTAAGACACACAGTTAAACACTAAGCACAGTGCTTAGCTTTTAGCATAAGGTAAGCACTGTGCTAAGTACTCCACATATATTAGGTAATTTACCCCTCACAAACATTTTATAAGATACAATCATTATCCCAATTTACAGATGAGGAAACTAAGACACAGAGAAGTTTGGACATTTGTTCAGTGTCACACAAGTCCACAGCAGTTGAGACATGAACTCAAGCAGTCCAGCTCTTCTTAACTACCATATGATTTCTCATCTAACTTATATATGGCATCTTAGCAAATCAATACATTAAAATAGTTTAGGAATAAATTATCCTTCATCCTATGCTTTGGGAAGGTTTTAATATACTTACTTGTAATGTATTTGTATCCCATACTTTCAGAGTTTTATCAAATGAGCTTGATGTGAACATGCCAGTGTCATGAGGATACCACTGTACAGTCTCCACACTGTATTTGTGAACATCAGGATGGTCTCTACAAAACACCAATCAAAATTTACAGATAACTGACCTACAGAGTTTCAAAACTGGTACTATATTAAGAACAATTAGCAGTCTCAAGTAGGATATGAATGGCCAAACCTAGATTACAAGCTTGTCTCCAAGCTGTCTAGGCGTTTCTAGACTTAAGCTTCTGCAGTGTGACACGGAGGCCTACTTCCTGTAAGGTTCATAATGGGAGAGCGACTTTCTATTTCTATACTATACACGGCCTGGAAGGATCAGTCAGATACACCGGACTCCTTCCATCTTGAAAGAGGCATGGATTTGTTCTTACTGGAAGAGATACCTATTTTGGTTTTAGATTTAGTTTTTCAAATTTGCTTATCCAATGAAAGAATAATTCCAGCCATGTATCTCTATTTTTCAAATTACATGGCTGGATACTTTCTTAACAGCCCTCGTATATAAAAACACTGTTTTGTCATATAAAAAAGTGAAACTTAACGTTAAAATGTTAATATGATTATTGTAGACGTTGGAATTTAAACTTTACTGTTTTCTTACTAACAGTGGGAAGAGAGCGGAAATGGCCTAAGCCGCTTATAAAGTTCCAAAGTCCTTGAGATAATATTATGTTTTGAACTACATTTTCCTTAACTACATTGCTTGCCATTTACACAATGGTTTTATCATTTTCAACATGCTTTTTAAAATTCTCACAGAAACCTTACAGCAAATATAATTGTCTGTAGATAAAATAATTTGAAGCTCAGAGAGATTAACTGATTTTTCCAAATCTGTATTTCCAATGTGAAGTGCCAGAGCTAAGAAACAATAGTAACTCTCCACACAAATTATTGATGGACTTAAGGACCTAGCCTAGTGCTTTGGAAACAGCTTTAATGGGGAGTGATTGCTGATGTTAATGTTCCTAAATTTTTTCCTCCTGAAAACGTATTCTCAGTACCCATTCTCTCTGTTCATTCAAAGATCTGCTCATTATCAGAGTAGGTACAATGATGAGAAAGAATTGAAATTCTTTCTATCATGTCACAAAACATTTTATTAGAGACTTAAAACAATTTTCACAAGATTGGCAAGCTAGTAAAGAATAGTCAGAGAAGTCAAGACAAGTAGAGGTATGTTTTTAACTTAGGCATCTTTGAGCAATTAGAGAGACAAGAAGGGGAGGTGTGTGTTTCGTGAGGGAATACCAGTATATTTGTTACATTTAGTTCTTAATCTTTTTTCATTAATATCAGTTGAAAATCTAATTAATGGAAAAACTCATGTGATATATCACATGGTTTTGGGAAGTCACATCTATACCTGAATTTTTGTTATTATTTTCAAGAAGTTATCAAGGGATATTCATGCAAATATGTCATTTGAATAATCTGAGCCATTCATATGACTGCTATTTTCATGTTTTGCATTTGATGTAAAAAATACTCAACTACTTACAAATTCATGAATTATATCTTTAATACACACCTGCCAATGGAACACAGTGCTTTACATGTGTAATAAGGTTGTCTGCTGGAGTTCTCAAGGTCATAAAGCACAATCACACCATCTGAACCACCTGATAACATACTGATAATAAAAAAGTTCACATTAATTCATCATTTTGTGCGGTCCACTTATTTATAATTGTGAATTTCTAAAATTGATTTGCAAACACCCAAATGTATTAAGACTATAAACACAGTGGTAATCTGTATTTACCATTAACATAGACTTCAATAAATTAAAATTTCTCAATATTTACAGAAGAATGAATTCGGAAAAATCCGATTTGTGGTCATTTCATTTACCTTCTTGATTCCAAAATGAAAGGACGGGAGAAACAAGATGGCAAAAGAAATTTCTTAAGAAAGCAAAATATTACAGTATTTTAAATGTCCTAATTATAGCTGTTCTTGATGAAAATGAAATTAGACATACCAGCTATTACTGACACCAGCTATCTGAACCCAGACTGGTTATATTACCTGTTTATGCCTTCTCACATTTGCTTTTTTTAAAAAGGACATTTTCACCTAAATCCCAAAGTTTACATGATGTTAAAAGTGCAAAGTTCCTTTTATAGTACCTGGCAAAACACAGTTCAATAAATGTCAGATTCTCTCCCTTTCTTATGAATGCATTCACTTGATTTATCATTCAACTTTAACTGAGCACCTACAACATGTTAGGCCAGTGGTTCTCAACCTGTGGGTCATGACCCCTTTGGAACAATGAAAATACATCGCAGCATTAGGAAGGTTGAGAACCACCGTGTTAGGCACTCTGCTAATACAATGGTAAACAAGACAGAATGGTTCCTGTCCTTGTAGAGCTTGCAATCCAGTAAGAAAAACAAGAAGTCTATATAGTAACACCAATTGTTAGTTATAATTGGGATCATTGTGACAATAACTTATTTTTGATCTAGTTTGGGGATTCAGGGATAGTTTCCCTGATTATAATATTTAAGCTGGTATATGAGGGAGGAATCAGAGTTAGCTAGACACGTGTGGAATTAACAGCCCTTTAGATACTGAAAGAAGGAATGTGTTGTGGGAGCAATGTGGAAGGGAAAGACTGGGGAGAGATGAAAGGCCAACAAGAGCCAGACCATCAAAGTCTTACTTTTAAGAGTAAAATGGGGTGCTAAAAAAGAAGCAATTTTTTTGGAAACAATTACTTATCTTCTCCCAAACTGGTCTATTATATCACTAGAAACTGTAAAATTTCTACTTGAAAGCTCTATAAAAAAATTTCAGTAAAAATAACATATAAGCATATACACTAAAGCTGTATACACTGCCTGAATTTAATTTTAAAACGTCACATATAAACATTATTCTTGGCACCTCATATACTTTAATCAATTTCTTAACTATTATCTGGATCTAAGACAGTTACTTGTATTTTTTGAATAATATGCTTTTCAATATGATCTAATTAGTTTTTTCCCATAAAATTGGCTGAAATCATCTTTGAATTTAATTGTTACCTTTAATTAACTTCCATGAAAGCCATAACATGTTTAATTTAGAAAATAACAATAGGTGGGGAGGTACATGGTAAGTTTAGAGCAAATGCTGCAAAATGGAAGATAGCCTGGTTCCATTTTTTTGTGTTGAAATGTGCAAATAATTCAGATTAAATATTTTCATTGTTTCTGTATTTTTACCTCCATTCAGAGTACCTTTAGCAATTTTTTTTAATAAACAAATTTATAAACAAATCTCTCCAAACAAATTCTCTATTTTATGTCTCTCTTTTTCTTTTTCTTTTTTGTAGAGACAGAGTCTCACTTTGTTGACCTTGGTAGTGTGCTGTGGCATCATAGCTCACAGAAACCTCAAACTCTGGGGCACAAGTGATAAGTGATCCTTTTTCCTCAGCCTCCCGAGTAGCTATGACTATAGGTGCCTGCTACAATGCCCAGCTATTTCTAGAGATGAGATCTCGCTCTGGGTTCGGCTGCTCTCCAACCTGGGAACTCAGGCGATCCACCTGCCTTGGCCTCCCAGAGTGCTAGGGCTATAGCTCAGCCCAACTTCTTATTCTCTTTGTTCTTATAATAATTTTATATGGATTTTGACCTTAATCCTATTTTTTGATTATTTTTACAGAAAATTAAGTTTCTTTAAACTTGAATATTCTCTTCTTCCCTTAATTCTCTCCCCCCACCCCATGTCCCCGGCCTGGTAAGATGTTTCACATATGGCAGCTTACCAGAGATTTCCCAAATTTTACCTGGGACACTTTTTCCTTGTCTCTATTGTCTCTGTATTGCTCAGTCTGAATTTTATTTAAGAAGCCTCTCTTCAGGGTTTTGTCTAGAGGAAAGCTTTGACTAGCTAGTTCTTTAGAGGACATATTAGGGCCCAGATGGCTCCTTCTGGTTTTACTGTAGACCACTTGAACTTACCTACAACTGGAGCATGCCATCCTCTCTCAGTTTCAGCTTCTTTTTTTTTTGAGACAGAGCCTCAA